ATGAACCCAGTCATGGCCAAGCTGATGAGGGGGAAGGGGAGGAAAAATGACTGGAAATGGTGGCGGTGGCAAGATGAACAAAGAAAGCACAAAGGAGAACCATGGCAAGAAGAATAAATTAAGGGTATTTTAGTAATTTAATATTTAAAGAATTGGAAATAATTTAAAAAAACAATTAAGTCTGACTTGGCATACTCCACGTAAGCAAATTATATGAGTTGTCATTGCCACATCATTAAAAAGTGCCATTCTGGAATATTTAACTGCCATGTGTCACTTAACTGACAGAAGGATTAAAATTGTGCAGTTTTTAGAGTTAAAGGATAAAAAAAGTGCAAAAATTTGTTGAGGGACCAAAAATGTGCAACTCACTAAAGTTGAGGGACCAAATTTAGCATTTAACCATAAAAAAATTTAAAAGGAAGGGGAGGGAAAATATTCTCTTTATTATTTTTTTTAATTTAGTTATTTATTTAAATAAGAGAAAAAAAAAAATAAGAGGAGAATGGTTGGAAATGAAGGGAAAAAATTCTCCTCTCTTTCTTTTATTTATTTTTTTTTATTTTTCTCAACCCAAATGTGAAATTAAAGTATATTGATATTATAAAAGCCAAAGCCCCTATTTGCACCCTCCATTTATTTTTTTTCTGCAGTCAACACCTTCCAAAATTTTTCCTTCCTATTCACACCCTCCACTTTTTAAAACCCGTGAAAAACCCAATATTTTAACGGGCCGTCACGGCACCGTTAATAACCGTTAAAAATTGTAATACGTGGCATCAAACAGTAAAATAATCCAATGTGGACTTTCTTTTTTTGATGATATGGCATAATTAAATCATAATTAATTTTAATTTTTTCATTTTCTTCTTTCTGGCATCATCTTTACCATCTTCCTCTTCATCTTCTTGGGTTCCTCATGGAATCAAGAACCAGGAACCCAGAACTTTATGTCACATTTATTAATCTAATGTTGGACTTTTTTTTATAATATGTTATAATTAAATCATTATTAATT